TGTGTGTGTGTGTGTGTGTGTGTGTTTATGTTACCCATGATGCCAAGGGGAAGTATTTGGCCTCTGTCCCTGAAAACCTATCCTCAGCACTGTCACACTCAGAGCACAAACACTTTCCAGGAAAAGGGATTTCAGTGGCTCGCCACTACCTGGACTTTGGTTAATTCCAGTGAACTCACGGCTCTCACTCTGTCTCTAGCATTCATGCTGATGCTTCTGGCTCCTCTCCCTATAGGCATACGGTCCTTTCACCTCTCTCCTCAGTCTTTCAGCAGAAATCACCTCTCCCATGATGACACTGCAGAACATGAAGTCCCTGTGCTCAGAAACTTCTCTTCTCTTCTCTGTTTCCCTGTGCGTTTAGTTCTCATATTGATTATAACAACCACTTCTTATCTGGTGCAGATTTTTCTTACATTTATTAACTCTCTTTTTAATCAACTTATGATTGCCCTTGCACTAGATTGTCGTTCAAATGTTGGCTTACTCATCAGTCATTTTATATTGCCAAATGTCTAAGTTTGTATTAAACAAGGGTTGCATATTTCTATTACCAAAAAAAAGTGTAGTTCAATTTATATTCACTATCTGAATTTTTAGTATGCAAGGAATCAAATCCATACTAAAAATTCCCCACAGTATAACCACAAACTTCTTTTCTAGGCTGATTTCCCACTTGTGCGTGTTTTCTCCATTATTCCTTGTTTTGTTTTAATTTCACATTTTTCTTTTGTTTCTTGACCAGACCCTTTTCCTCTCCTGTCTTGCCTAGTCTAACCTTTTGCCCATTATTGCCTACTGCATCTTTGGTCCCCTTCTTAGCAGTGTGTGAGACTTATATGTATTCTGAATACTAGTGCTTCGTTGATTATGTGTTTAGCAGACACCTCTTTCCAGGCCAAGACTTATCTTTCCCATTTCTCTATAGTGTCTTTTTCTTATAAATGTTTTCAACTTCATTTAAAGTAGTCAAAGTGTAGGAATTTTTTCTTATGTTTTGTGCTGGTTTAAGGAATTAATTACATTTCTTGTATCATAAACATATGGTCCTCTAAAATTTTTTCAGTGTAATTGAGATATAACTGACATATAGCATTGTATAAGTGTAAGGAGAACAATGTCTTGATTTGATATTCTTACATGTTCCTCTAAATTTTTTGAAGTTTTGCTTTTCACAAATGAGCCTTTAAAGATTATTTTTCCTAGGTAGGTATCCCATTGTTCCAACACTGTTAACTGCATGGTCAGTTCCTCCTTTCCCTGCCCATTTCTAAACCAAACAATGTCATATGCCCGCTGCTAATAAATGCTTGATCTGGGTCTGACCCTATATCTGTTAATAGGTCTATTTTTCATTCCCAATATCAGCACTACTCCACTGTTTGAATTTCCATAGCAAATCATCTTGAGTCCTAATGGGACCATTACTCCCTCCTTATTCTAACCTGTCTTAGCTCTTTATGGCTCCTCATTCTTTTGCATGCTAAAATTTCATGTTTAAAAGAAACTGGTAATATTTTGATTGAGATTGCATCCAATTCATAGATTAATTGGAAGAGAACTGACAATTTTACCACATTGAGTCTTGCCATTAACATTGTTTATCTCTTCATTTTTTAGGTATTCTTTTATTTTTTTGTCCTTCAGTAAAATTTTGTAATTTTTGAAACCAGTTGGACCTCCTTTGTTAGAATTATTTCTAAATTCCTATTGCTGTTGTGAGGAGTCTTTATAAAAATTGTATTTTCTGATTTATTATTATTTAAGTATACAAACAGTGCTGATTGTTTCTAATATTGGTCTACATGAAACAAACTTGCTGATATCTCTAGAGACTCCCTTGGGAATTCTTCCCCCGCCCCCACTCAATTCTTCCACCCCACTCCCTACCTAGCTCCCCCTCATACACCGACATCTGTCAGCCTGCTCTCTAACTATAAGTCTGTTATTATTTTGCTTGTTAGTTTATTTTGTTCATTAGATTCCACATATGAGTGAAATCATATGACACTTGTCTTTCTTGGGAATTATTGACTTAATATAGAGGTTATCTTGGGTTTTCTTTGTGAACAATCATATATTCTGTGAATTTTGTACTTTCCAATTCTAACACAGCAAAAACAAATCTAGTGTTATTTTAGAAATAGAGCAGGACTTGCATGTTTTACACAGAGGACTCAAATTAGCTCACTACTTCATGTAGATCTGTAGGCACATCTCCTGTATCGAAGAGAAATTATAAGCCTTTAGGGCCTTGTTAATAGCTGGAAACCTCAAGGAGCCATAACAGAATCCGCTCTGGCTTGCTGAGCGTTCTTTCTGTTTCTCATACCTATGTATTCACATTTCTTTCTTTCAGATTTGGTTATGTGTATATTTCATTATTTTTAAATTTATTTAGAATTTCAATGTACTTTATTTGGATTGGGCTTTGTCCACATCAGCTTAGTTTGCCATATTGCCAAGAATCACACCCCTAAAAATCATACACTTCCACACCAAAGGAATTAGCCATGCTCTCTGAGCCCTTTGGCTTTATTGAACCATCTCAACCCTAAGATATTATGATTCTGTGAAAAGATAAGAAAAGGCATTTCAGGGAATAATTCCAAATTATTTTAGGTTCTGAGATAGACAATCTGGAAATTTTAGGTTCATTATATTTGGGGAAAATATACTTAGATCTGCATCCCCTGTGCCTAGCACATAACTCACACATGTTGAGAAGAATATTTTAATGAATTATTGAGTAGAGTTCTTTTTGGAAAAATTAGTGAATTATTCAGGATACCCTGGGAAAAGGATATTAAATAGTACAATATAAGATAATAAATGCTAAAGTTAATAAATGATCTCAAACTGTATAATTGTTTAAACAGAATAAAAGGGTATGTCCCTCCTATGCAACAGTCCTAGTGGGTATCTTTGGTGGTGGGTGGCTCTGGTATGCGGAGAACCAGAGACACAAGCTCATTTCACCCTGTGACTCCACCATCCCATTCAGCCCCTTGGCCATTTTATCTAGCATGCACAAGGGGAAAACAAGTATGGAGGAAGCCCAGAAATGGAACACATGGATGAACTGGCAGTTGAAAACTCAGTCACATGGCCTCATCTCAGTGCAAGAGAGCCTGGGAAATCTAGTCTACTTGTGTATTCCGGAAGAAGAGAACAACATGGGTTTGGATAAGGCTCTGCCATAGTTAGTATGCCTCAGAGTACAAGTGGATCAAAGAGGAGGGGATCTATAGTCAATAATAAGCTAAGGAAACATTACAGAATTTCAGGTAGAAAATGATGATTATCTAAGCTAAAGTTCTGAGACAGTAGCTAGAAAAGTTAAATTATGTGAGGTTTCTTTTTAAATAATCAACAAGATCAGATGTAGAAGTGAAGGAGAAACTGGGTGTGTGTGCCTGTGAGCATCCCACATGTGGGGAACCAAAGAAATAAACTGATTTAACTCTAGAAATATTAAGCTCAAACTTATTGGTTCATAAAATGAACAATATTTCACAATGAACTCTCTGGGAGTGATTAAAAACAAAACAAAAAATACTAAGTATGGTTCCACGCCTGAAAAACAGCCTGCAAACTACTTAGGTTGGATGTGCAAAGTAGAGGGTTTGGACAGACATGATGGCAGAATCACTGAATGTAAAAATATGGTAGAGAGACATCAAAAGGACAGATACAGATCTGAGAGTTTACTATGCTGTCCTTGAAGTGACTATAGAATTGGATGAGTCACCACAAAAAATAAAATAAAGAGAAGACCAAATAGAAAAGCTTTGCAATGACCTATATTAGAGAGTTTACAAAAAGGTAAAACTTATCAAAGGAGGTGGTGAAAGTCTTATTTGAAAATGGGAATCTTGGGGAGGAAATTCATTAGGCTTGTTTTTCCTAGATCATAACTCTGTGGTCCTTGTGATTTATAATCTTTCAGTGTCAATGCAAATACCTTTTACTCCCTGGGCCTGGGATCACTATGACTTTGGTCACTGGAACAATTTCTAATTTCCAGGCTGGTCCTTGTATTATCACACCTTTTGCACTGGTGTATTTAGCCAAAGACGCCAAAACGCTGTCATTTCTAAATCATATTTAATAAAATTGCCATGTGATTCTGGCTTCTCCATTAAGTTGTAAGGTCCCTGAGAGCAGAGACTCTGTCTTACAGGTTGAATAAATAGATTGATAGATTGCATTTCCACATATTTTTTGTTTTTCCATAAGCCTAACAAAGTATCTAGTTCATGCAATGTGAGAATTAAGTACTTGTTAATTGATTAAATCCTATACGGTTGGGTAGTGGCACTGGGATGGGGGAGGTTGGGCAATTCTGACTCAAAAATTGCTCACTTCTTAGACATGAGTGTCCAGGCTTAAATGTCAATTAGTCCCACTGATCAACAAGGATATTTTCCCAAAATACTGGCTTTAGCTGGATTTAGTAAACTCAGTTGCAGAGATAACTTATCACTGAGGCAAAACTGGTGGGTAAGGAAGATCGTTATACTAGTACACAGTAACTTCACTAAAATTCTGGATTTCTCTCCCCAATCTTATAAAAGAATAATGAGGGAAGGTAATCAATCCTCTACCCTGGATTTCATCCTCCTGGGCGTTAGCGGTCAGCAGCAACAGGAAGATTTCTTCTTCATCCTCTTCCTGCTCATTTACCCCATCACACTGATTGGAAACCTGCTCATCATCTTGGCCATTTGCTCCGACATTCACCTTCACCACCCCATGTATTTTCTCCTTGCTAACCTCTCTTCTGTTGACATCTTCTTCTCCTCTGTAACCATCCCGAAGATGCTAACCAACCATCTCTTGAGCACCAAGACCATCTCCTTTGGGGGATGCCTGACACAGATGTATTTCATGATTGCTTTGGGTAACACAGATAGCTATATCCTGGCTGCAATGGCATATGATCGTGCTGTGGCCATCAGCCGGCCACTTCATTACACAACGATTATGAGCTCACGAACTTGTATCATGCTAGTTGTTGGGTCTTGGGGAGCTGGAAATGTCAATGA